TTGTAGGTAAGACTATTTTTGATGAAATTTATGAATTGTTTTACCCTCCAACTGGCAATAGTAATTATGTCAAGTGCTTAAACACCAACAAATAATGCCGAAATACCAAATATGTGGTCTGTTTACAATTATCTATTCTTAGACACGGGATTCCGATATTGCTACCTGTATAAAAATACCTGAGGACGCGTCATAACAGTGCACGGTTGGATGCGCGGTATTTAAATATTATAAAATTATACAATATTAAAAGAAAAAAACAATCATTGTATTTTATTTTTATAATCCTAAGTTATTCATCAACAATTAAACAAATCATATTTTGATATTAAACCTAGACTTTTTCAATCATGTAATAGAAGGCAACTTGGCTCAAAATGGGCCGAACAAATGTGCATGCTGTCAGGATTAAACCCCGAATCACACCGATTTACGGCTGCTATCAATGGTGACCGCCATTCTGCATCTTTAGGAAAGCCAAAGTAATTAGTACCCTGTCCTGTTTTCTTACTGGAGTTGGTACAACCGACCACACAACAGTGTTTGCCACCCATTGTTTTACCCCTGGAGCAAACCGGAAGTTGCTTCCTATACCACCCGATGGGGGCGCTGCGAACATCGGGAAGCTCCTTGGTTGATTATAGAGCGTGACGTCATGGAGTCGGCGGTCCCGTTAATTTAGGTCTATGGTCTCGCATAAACATTGTAACTGTAACCAATTCACACTTTATATTTCTTCTCGAAATTATTGAACCAATTTCAATCAATCTTTGCGGGAACCTTCCATGGCAAAAGACAAACCAAACTCGTGAGTTATTTGATTCAGCCCCCTAGGGGCCTGAGGCGCCAAATTGTCTAAAATTTCTACAATCATCATCTTCAGACTCCGATATGCAAGAAAAAAAAACCACTTTTCACGTGAGGAAAGCTCCTATGGTTCTTTATCGAAATGGGGAAATAATTACAGTAATGTTTTTAATGGCTATATTTTGAAATATATTTAAAATGTTCAGGTGAGCAATACTGGCCCATAGGACCTTGATACAGCCAAATTTTGCTGATCTTAAACTTTGAAGGAGAATTTGAGTTTAATCTCATAGGTGATTGGTATACAAAAAAAAAATAACACTGACAATGCATAGAAGATGGCACCCTTTAAATTCCATGGCGGGCGACAAATTTCAAACTTTTGTTTGTTACACACTCCAGTCCTGAGTTGCAGATACAGATAATATGTGATGACCTCTAATTCTGACCTGATTAATCTTATGCTTGTATATGTACCTGTAACCTTGAAGGCAACAACCTGAACAAGGCAATCTATATTTAGTAACATGGAAGTATTGTGTTTCTACAGATTTAGTTCCATTATGACATCCTTGATCAACATTTTCAGATCCTCATCAGTATTCATATCTAGTTATAAATAATTATGCTGTATGGTATTCAAACCTCTAGATCTATCACACACACAAACCAGACCCACTACCATATAATATCCCTCAGTCCATTGTTGCCCTTCATCCCACATTTAGTCCCGGCCACTTTACATCCCAGGCTAATGGCCTCCTGTACACTCCGACCTTGACACAGAGCGAAGACAGTAGCAGCATTGAAGGTATCCCCGGCGCCCAGTGTGTCCACCAGTGTCTCCGGGGGGAACACAGGACTGGTACACAGTAGGCCGTCTCCAGATAGGGCGGCCGCTCCCTCGTCACCCCAGGCACAGACCACCACGGCTCTGTCAACAACATGTACATGTTCCATTATTATACATTAATTACGAATTACTAGAGCAGCGCATTCGAATAATATAAACATTAAATTTCAAAGTAATGGAACAACAACAAAAGTGTTAGCGTAACCCACATCATCTCTTCCAAGGATTGTTTCATTCTCTATGTATGTCACAGAAACATTGAATTTATAAGAAGTTGGATTATGACTATCATACAAATGACCATTGATAACAATATTTCAAAATTGATTATACAATGGTATTCAATTTACATTTTGTGTGTTTAAAATACATGTGTATGTAAATGTAAGGGTAAATGAACACAAAAAGGAAAATATATTTTTTTTAATTTTTTTTTTTTTAGTCAAAACAAAGCTCCTAGATGAGTATCAGGGGAAATTCTAAATGTACCCTGTGGCCTGTTCCTCTATGTGGAACAACCAGTTTGTCTTTTTTTTTAAATATAACCTTTTCCGTTATAAAACCTGACGGACCTGCACATTTTAATGAAGGCCTTGCAAGGCATTGTCAAGGCTCACCTTAAGCGGCATCAGATTAGTAGGTCTGACCCTATTAGCTCCCTCACTCAGGTCTGAAGGACCGTGGCGAGCTTATGCCGTCCTTTGTCTGTCCGTCTGTCAACTATTCCTTTAAAATGCTACTAGTCCTGAACAGCTTTATGAACTTTGACTCTTTGACTAAATTTGGCCTGGAGCATCCTTGGGAACAAAATTTTGTATATATGAAGGGTGTGGCCCTTTTGGGTGCAGAGGGACTGGGCCCAAAAGGGGAATTTGAGGTTTAATTTTAAATCCTTCTTCTGTATCACTGGAGGGATTTTATCTCCAAAGGGCCTGTTTCCAGTAATGTTAATTCTCCATAGGAGCCTGCCCCCGTATAATTTCTTATCTAGCTCAACTACTGTTTTTTTCTTTTCCTAAGAATAATTTTACACCTTTCCGACACCCAGATTTCATAATTTCAGTGAAAATGTATTTTTATAAAGTTGTCAATTTCAGCATCAAAGACATAAGTTCGTAAATAAAAGAAGGTTATCTCAAAATTGTAATTCGCAACATAGTATAAATTTCTTTTGATAAATATTTCCAAAACATCGTGTTTATTCATAAAACATAAAAAAAAAAATTCTCGGATGAAAATGCACTTGCAGAGACACAATTATGAAGAAAAATGCCATAAAATTGCAATTTTCTCCCGTTATATAGTTTTGGATGCAAATTTCCATCAGAAAATCGGATAGAGCTTTACTTGTTTCATATGTGTACCAAAAATCAGCTAATTCCATGTGGTGGAACGTTCTCATATCGCCGCCTGAATGTGGTTGTAAATTGAAAGAAAAGGGGAAATGAGTAACAACCTTGTCTGAAACCCTATTATATAGCTTATTATATACAAACTTTTATATTGAATATCAGAGCGGATATTTTCATGACAGTTTTATGATGTGTAACGACTAAATAAACAGTATCGATATAAAGATTTACACTGAGGACACCCTGATACATGAATACTGTTCTATCTCAAGTTGTCCTCTTCTGAATTTTCTGATCGTGTGGCCTTGTACATTTATCCGTATCTTCTTGTCTTTGTCTATACGTTTACGGAATCATTGACTCGACGCTAGCTATTCTTGTCTCACTTTCCTTGTTTTATTGTCCCATCTCCAAAGCGTTGTGGCTCTGTCAGGGTTGGGACCCTGACTTGTCTCACTTTCTTTGTGCCTGCCGACCACGCCACATCGAATAGATAGATTATCCATATGAAATACTTTATTTTGTTCTAAGTAATCAATCAATTCTGCGCTTCTTGGAGGTATTGAATGTGATTTATTATATTGTCTTGTTATTTTGTGTAATTAGTTGTTCGTTATTTATCACACATTTTCGCATAATTGTACCAAACTACTAAGTATTAGCTGTTTACAGCAATCATCGGTGGCTTGCTATTTTGTTACTTTATCGACGCTTCATAAACCAATCGTTATTGTTTCAAGATGGAGGGTAAATGTGTTGGAGAAGGGTGTCAAGTATACTTCAAGAAACGTAGTGGCAATAAGAACAGAAGTGCACGCAATGTAAATAGTCCACAATATAAATGGCTCCTAGATACGCTGGTGCAACAAGGATTGATGTCAGCAAAGGAACAAGCACTTATTTGCCAGAAGTGCTACATGAAGTATCTTCGGAACAAAAATCAGCCTGAACCTGAACCCGAGCAGAACCAGGAAATAGAGGAAGAAGACGACTCCCCGTCCCATATCCTGCCGTTGCTGACCCTTCATGATCTTTTGAATGGATCATCTTCACACAAAAAATGCTGTCTCTGTCTTGTTACCTTTGCAAGAAATGGAACAAAATCATCAGTCTTACCAAAACGTGCAAGACATCACCTGATCTATTCACACAAACTGTGGTGTCCCACCTCATCCCGCGTCTGCTCCATTCACCTTATTGGTAACGACTTAGATCCGTCTACAGAGGTTGTCCTTGATGGTAGAGGTTCCTTGGAATCTCAGTTACCATCAAAATCGTCCGAAATCATTAATGACCTCCTAGAGGTGTCGCACGTCCTTTCACAGAACCAGTCTGCGTTTACAATAAGCTTTTCTTCTCTTGATGACTCGGCATGCATGGCCTGGACAGGTTGGTCCAAAGATCAGTTCCTCGAAATCCACTCGCACTGTTCCCCATATCTTTCATCTGGTATATATACCAAGACTACACACGATGCTCTATTACTGTTCTGGGTAAAACTGAAAACCGACATTTCCTGGAGTCAGTGTTCTTCTCTTTTTGGAATTTCCAAGTCAAGTGTGTCCAAAACTTTCCACTCCATAGTACAGGCATTAGACACATCGATAGTCCCACAATTTCTAGGTCCGGATCACTTGACAAGAGAACAGTTGCTCGGGCACAATACTGTCTTTTCAGAAGCATTTTTTGGAGATAAAGCCACTGCCATATTAGATGGCACCTATATTTATATCCAGAAAAGCTCCGACCACAAGCTCCAGAGAATGTCCTACTGTGGCCAGAAGAAGAGAAACTATCTCAAATTCATGAGCATCGCCTTACCAGATGGCTACATTCTGGACACAGTAGGACCATTCACTGGCAGCGAAAATGATGCTACAATTACAAAAAAAGTCATGGACAAGCTAGTTACTTGGCTACAACCAGACGACAACGTTGTCGTTGACCGAGGTTTTAGAGATGTCCTACCAGTTCTCGAAGCCTCTGGCCTCAATGCTAGCATGCCGTCATACCTGAAACCCGGTCAAAGTCAACATTCTGACGTCCAAGCAAATCTTGACAGAACTATCACCAAATCGAGGTGGATTGTGGAATCCTATCATGGTCGTCTGAAACACTGGACGTTCTTCCGAACGCAATTGGTGTCTAACAGCTTTATCAATGTCATCGAGGCTTTGCTTCGAACCGTCACAGCCTGTCTGAATGGTATTAGAGGACCGATCTACCAGAGATCTCCAGAGAGAGATGCCAAAGATAGGCTAATGGCTGAACGTATGAAGGACCGTTTGACAACACCGAATGGTTTAGCTCAGAGAGTCAAGACAGATCCGGATCTATCTAGACGGGCAAGGTCCGAGTTTGTCAAGATGGATGCATCTTCCGTACTGTTTCCCCGTCTCGATCTTGATTACTTGAGAACCATTACGTGTGGAACGTATCAGATATCTCTGGCTCCTGGTTACATCGCCGAACATTTAAGTGATGACGGAGACTATGAGGTGTGGCTTTACCAGCACTCCCCAGACCTTCTCCGATGTCAAATACATTCTCGACACAAAAGCCAAACGAAATATAACGTTTGGATACGGTTCACCGTTTCACCCGATGTTGAGGCCCCAATAAAGGACTACTACTGCCAGTGCCCAGTTGGAGAGAGAACGATGGGAATGTGTGCGCACATCTCCAGTATCTTGTACTACCTTGGGTATTACAGGACGCTGGAAAACCCTCGACCATTACAACCACAGGTAAAGAAATTCCGACAAAACTTGAAATAGTTTTCCATGCGGCAACGGAGTGCATATGTCGAAAGTATGTTTGGGGCTCGATATGAAAGATCCCCGTTACCATGTGACTAACCAAACTTATAAATATAGGTATTATACAATCGCCCGTAGCTATGAACACTCCCGTAAATGCGAAAACCAACCAAAATCATAAGGAACACGTTTTGTTTGTTGTTCTGTCTATTTGTCAGCCAATGTCTTCAACCACGGGGACTTGTGAAGTAGCCATCTTGGATTTTTTTTATGAAAAAGTGTTTCTCTCACTTTTTTTCATATCTGTGTACATATTCTCAACATACCGAGCAAATACTCTCGTTTTTTTGTTAATTATCTAAAGAAAGTCGAAAATCGGCAATTCAACCATAGGCTAATTCAACCCAACATTTGAAAATGTTCCACCACTTACATTTTGATGATTTTTCCTCTCATCAATAGCATATTACGTACTGTTTAATAGGATAAAAATTGGTTTGCATCCAACGCCCATAAAAGGGTGTATTCTCTAAAAAACACAGTTTTTGTGTCTAAAATGTTATCATCGAAAATGGCATTTTTGAGATTGTTTCTTCCATAAAACAGCCAAATGGCGCGATGGAAACATGATTTTTTGTCACAATCATGCCATGAATGTATTCTTTACGGTGACCATCATTTGATTAGATTTTCATTAACATTTTACATAACATGCACATTTTATCAACACTTAGACAGCTTCTGAAAGGTACAACTTTGAGGAGCCATAAAAAACAAACCAAGTGACCTAAGTCTTTATACTTTATAGATTTGTAACCACAACGACATGGGCAATGCACCACCAACAGGAAATTTGAATCAGAGAAGGGGCCGTTTTGGAAACCGGCCCTTTGGCCTGGAGCACCTTTGGGCAAACAGGACTCTAAATTTGTATGAATGAAGGGTGTGACCCCTCTGGTTGCAGAGATATGGGTCCCAAAAGGGGACGTGTATAGCATCACCTTTTGCCTATTGGAAGCTCAAAGCTGGTAACTTCAGTTTTCAGCCACTCAAATCTTGAAAAGTGTCTCTATAGGATGCTCTACTTATATGAAAGTAGAATTAGGGACATTTCACCCTCATTTCAACTCTTATACACCATTACTTTTGAATGAAATTGGTTTGTGGGTCAGAGGTTATTATTCCAAATAGAAACAGATGTTAAGTGCACATTTCACTTTATTCAGTATGTGGGTTTTAGGGTAATTTGAACATTAAATTGGAATGTTTATAACAATAGACTTACCCAGCTTTACATTTCTTGATATAGGCGCGTACGACATCCTCTTTAGAAAATAAGCGTTCATCATCAGCTTTCTCTTTAGAGATGAAAACGACATCTGCATATTGTATGAGAGAGTCTGGAAAGAAACATTATACATGGTACATATATACATCCATCAATTTAATTCTGCTTGATAAAAGTAGTTAATCACATGGCATGTCATACCTCTTGTTCAGTAATGAAAATGGATATCTGTCTATAAATCTACAGCGACACTTAACTTAATACATGACTTCAAACGTGCAAACAACTCATGAAAGCAATTTTTGCTTTTTTGAATTTCTCCAACAAAAACTCTGATCTAACATACACCATACTGGACGGATGGAAGGACAGACGGACAATATGTACAAGCTCACTAAATGGGCGAATTGGTCGAGAGGGTACCGGTTCGAACCCCGAAGTCACCTTACACATGGAATATTAGAGAAAGTGTTTTTCTCCTGCCCACACAACTCCAACAACCCAGGTGGAGTATAAAATGGTCTGGGGTGGGTGTTGTAGTATCTGTGCTGTAGCATTCAAGTGAGGTGGCACTATAAATGATGCAGTTGGAAGCACGGTCCCACTACAAACAGAACACAATACATCTCCAGCACACACTCAGGCATACACACATAGGGAGATATTAGCCAGGTGGCATAGGACTAGTAGTTATCGGCTGATAAGGCAGCTCCTGCGAATTCCTCAATATTGAATTGATTAATATATATGCGAATTGTATTGACTCTATTAAATTGTATATCTATGTACTGTAAAGCGCTTTAGAGTGGCTTATGTTAGCTAGATAGGGCGCTATATCAAATGTTGTATATTTATTTGTATATTTAAATATGTGCTACCAACATTTTCATTATAGCTTAGGAATCAGAAAGTGAAGGATCATTTTCTCAACAATGTCATATGTTTGTAAAAACAGAAGTCTAGAAAACTCGACCAACCTAGCTCTGGACGTCCAGGTTTCTCCAGTTCCAGTGACACTTTGATTTTGTCGACGGCTGTCTCATTGTATTGCACCACTCTAAGCATTATCTGAGTGTAGGCCTGTACTGCTGGTCTCGCCTGAATGTAAACATCAAACATATGTACCCTCACGTCAGAGTTAACCCTATTCACCACTGTATACCATAATGGACTTATCCAGATCAATGCATGGTAATGTTTCATAGGGGTGAAAGGGTTAACGCGTATCATTGGCTACCAGTACCCAGTACTCTCATCTCTTCTAATCCACATCTGGGTTTTGTAGGTTTGTACTGTAGGTTACAAGATTTTAGATGTGTTAAGTGGTTTTTTTACCTGAATTTTTCAACAGCCTGTTCCTTTATGAACTGGGAAAATATAGCATTATTTTAATTGAAATTGAGAAATATGTTCCTCTTTTTTGGTCATTTTGTGAAAATAGGGCACTTTCTAGTTTTGGTCATTTTGGGAAAATAAGGCACTTTTTAGTTAAGGGAAAAAGCCTGTATTCGGCTGTAAACTTGTATGTCAATTTTTGCAATAACAAAAAAGAAAAAACCAGGATCTACATCAAGTTACCGTTACAGTATACAATAGTTATCATGTTTCATTGGAAATTAGCATACTACAATATAATGTACAAGTTACAGTTGAATAAATTAGTGTATTATCAAATGACATTTAAACTTTACCTCAATGTGAATCCATTTGTACTGTGATAGATCTAAGGTTTGGAAATGACTAAAATTAACCTCAGGTAAATTTCTGTAAAAAAAACAAAACTATTATCAAATTTTAATCTTTGTATTCAAGTCTCAAGTTCTTACATTTGCACATGAGAAACTCATGAGCAGCATGCAAGATACAATTTAGAAATGTATGCAAATTATGTTTTGAACATGAGCTTCAAGTTTACGCTAGCAAAGTAATTGCTCGACTGCAATACTCATGTGCAATAATTTGCTCATGTGAGGAAAATAATTCTAACACAAGCTCATGTGAGAAAATTTCTGCTCAAGTAAGTGACCTAAATAACAACTAGTTTTGAATGTTTCAGTTTACAGAGGGCATGATATTTTAAATCTTCTTTACCATCAGCATATTTTTCTTACCGCTCATGAACTGATTGTTAGCAAATTTTGGGATGGGAGCCAATAAAAACTAGAACAGTAGAGGAACACAAAATAAAATTGAAAGAAATGAACAAGGTACGGTGTATTAATATCATATAAATCAGATATCATATTTACTTGGCACAGTGCAGAATAGTCCTTGATCCATTTGATTGGTTGATAATCACCATGGAGACAGGGGTATGAACTTCAGGTCCACACACCATTGCATCATCAAACACAACCCCATAACTCTTCAAATTGTCTCTAAGAAAACTGAAAAATCACAAAAAATAATATCAGTAAAAGTTCAACATTTTGGTTATTTAATTCCTAGGAATAACTTATTTGTATTGAATTTCTTTTGTCATCATGACATTTAAGTGAAAAAGACATACTTGCTTTCTAAATCTGTTGCCATGGCTCCCATGAACTCTGACCTCTCCCCGAGCATTGCCAGTACAGTACTTGTTGTGGAGGCATTTCCACCTCTCTGCCAGTAGTAGTCCAACACTCTGTAACAAACCAGGTCAAGGTCACCACATCGAGGTCAGAACAAGGTCACCACATCAAAGTCAGAACAAGGTCACCACATCAAGGTCACCGTATCATTTGGAATGTCTCACGATACAAGATCAAGGTAGACTGGTCCAACACAAAGAACCCTTTGGACACTTTTTCCTGCAACCCTTCCAATGTTCACAGATAACAACTATTTTTTTAATCTCTTCCTCTTAAACGACAAGAAAAGTCTATTTCTTAACCAGAAAAACAATGAGTATGGAGGCTAGAATATAGAACTATGTAATTGATAAACTGAATAGGGAATAAGATGGCCACTACTTCTTATTATGAGAAAATTACATCACCAGATTTCTTCCCCCTGCTATCAGTATTTCCTACTAGGTGATGTACACTGTACATATGTAAACAAAGGTATGTATATGACTATATGTACCAAAAATAAACTCATTTCGGAAGAAGTATCAGAAGACGAGGATTCCCAAGAATGTTCTAGCCATACTGGGATTGAACCCTAGCTGAACCTCCAAAATCTATACAGAATCTTTAAACCTTTCACCCCTGTAGACCATAATGGACTCACCCAGATAAATGTAAGGTAGAGTCTACTCGAGTTACCAAGGGGTGAAATGGTAACTATTCTAAAACAGGTGACCAATCCAGTTCTGATCCTCATCCCATTCTTCTCTTCCCAAATCATTACTATTGAAAAGAGTGTTGAACACTTTTTACAATCCAGGCTTGTGTTACTTCTTTTAAACTGGATATACTTGTGCAACAGGAGAGGGAAAATGCATGGCCCAGACCAGGGTTTGAACCTGGTGTAGTATGGTAATATGAAGGCCATGGTGAAATGAACCGCAGTACATATTACCATAATGGTAATATGAACCGCCCCATGGTGAAATGAAGGGTTCCAACGATTTCTATTCTGACAACTTTTTTCCATTCTTTTTCTTTAAGTTTACTTCGATTTGATGTATTCTATCTGAAATGACAAAAATTAAGTCAGGGGTAGTAACAATTAGGGTGGGGTAGGGGTGCTTCACTCTACCATAATGGTTAAATGAAGGGTTTTAGCATTTTTTTTTCTATTTGACTATTTTAAACCAAATCTGGTTTAGATTACATCAGTTTGATGTCCTGAATATGAAAATCACAGAAATTAAGTCTGGGGTAGAAACAAACTAGGGTGGGGCAGGGGCGCTTCACTTTACCATAACGGTGAAATTATTTATTTATTTATTTATTTCCAATTCAACAGACCCAAGGGTCCACTAACAGAATGGATAACAACATTACAACACAAGTATAAAATATCACAGTCAGTTATGCATGTAACACAGACTAAAAGATGCATATGTAAAACAAAAGGAATTAATGATAGCAAATATTCTTTAACCATACTTTGAACTCTGCGAGAGAGGAACAAAACATATCACAGTCTGATGTTTAGGGTAGGGCAGGGGCCCTTCACTTTACCATTATGGTGAAATGAAGGGTTTTAGCAATATTTTTCTATTTGACTTATTTAAACCAAATCTGCCCTTAATTTTTCTAACCCAGACTTATTTTTTTGATTTTCATATTCAGGACATCAAACTGTTGTAATCTAAACCTGATTTTCTCTACTCCAGACATAATTTTTGAGGTAGTAAACTTTATAAAAGTTTATAGGAGCAGAAAAATGCACGACCAGACAGGGATTCAAACCCGCTGTCCGGGACCCTCCAAACTCTAGATCTACTAATTGAGATACCTGGTCACTGACGACTGACCAAGTCCAGTTCCACTACACTGCATCTTTTAAAGTGCATTCAGTGCTTGTTAAAAGGTTCCTTCCACTTTTAGAAAATTAAGATTGGGACAGGGCAACAGGATTAAAGACTAGTTAGCTTGACGGCAGCTTAACTTACACATCTAGTATTACACGGTAGGTAGAACCACGGAATTAGATTTCTAAGCTATCTAAGGCCGTGGTAGAACAAAGATCAAATTAAAACTACTTGTATATATAAAGATTAGAAAATGACCTACTGACAGTAGAAACAAAACTATTTATTGACTTACAAATGTTTTCAAAAACTGGATTTATATTTTGACGACTCGTTAAGCTTATCAGCCTTTTAACAATTGTGTCCAAACCTTCTTGTCCAAGGCAACCGCCACTGAGCAGCGTTTTGACCTCTACAAACTTCATAATTTTTCACGTATATGGGCACCTTTTATCTGTGTCTTCTTTCGGGTAGCTATCGCACACTGTCACAATGTCCAAACACAACATCCCCAGGCTTAGCACCTTCTTTTGTCCGGTTTCCAACTCCATTTCAAAACAACAACAACTGTTGTACTTTCAGTTCTGACAGGGTCACTAGTTAGCTATATAGGCTGTACTGGATTAACACCACTTTCACCAGTAGATCAGTGTGTTTTATCTGGAGTGGCAGGAGATCGGTACAGGTGGCCGTCTTCCTCTGTCTGTTCATATCGCCCTAGCCATGTGTCACTTCACACTGTCATTAAACCGGATGTTGATGGAAGGTAGATAACTCCCACACGAACTTATGATTACCACGGAATGAGTACGAAAATACTCCAATAAAATGAAATTGATACTTAATTAGATAAGAACTCGTCTATTTTGATCACTTCATTTGTAAGTCACAAATTATGGGACAATCTGAAATACAGTAAACTTGAGCACATGTTGTATTGCATATGTTTATATTATTCTCTATTAATTACTAATTAAAACAAAACAAAAAAATGGGGAGGGAGGGGGCCTTGGCACCAAGGAATATATAGATTTGATGGAAACGGGATTATGTCTTTGTTGACTTGCTCATAGTTTCTTCGATGAAGTCAATTGCTCAACAAAATTTCATTTTTAACTCACCTGGCCCGAAAGGCCAAGTGTGCTTTTGATGTGGCGCGGCGTCCGGCGTCAATATTTTACTTTAAGCAACTTCTTCTTAATAGCCAAAAGGCCTAGGGTGATGATATTTGGCCAGAAGCAAACTCTGATGAAGAGCTACCAAGTTTGTTCAAATAAATTACCTTCACCAATATTCAAGGCCGTCGGGGTCAAATATGTTGAAAAAATTAAATAGCCAAAATGCCCAGGGTGATAATATTTGGCCAGTAGCATGGTGGGATGAAGGGCTACCAAGTTTGTTCAAATAAATGATCTTCATTTATGTTCAATGTCACAGGGGTCAAATATGTTAAAATCTTTAAACGACTTCTTCTGAATAACCAAAATGCCCAGGATGATTATATAATTTGGCCAGTAGCATGCTAGGCTGAATGGCTAACAACTTTGTTAAAATGAATGACCTCCACTTATATTCAAGGTCACATGAGTCAAATATGTTTTAAATCTTGAAACAACTTCTTCTGAAAAACCAAATGATGCAAGATTGTGATATTTCGCCAGTAAAATGCTGGGAAGAAGGGCTACTTAGTTTGTTCAAATGAATGCCATTGAATTGCATCCATAGTCACAGGAATCAAATATGTTAAAATTCTTTAAACGACTTCTTCTGAATAACCGAAATGCACAGGGTGATGATATTTGGCCCGTAACATGCTTGGATGAGGGCTATCAAGTTTGGTCAAACGAATGACCTTGACCTATATTCAAGGTCACAGGGATCAAATATGTTCAACATTTTTAACCAATTCTTCTGAATTACCAAAAATTCCAGGGTGATGATATCTGGCCATTAGCATGCTTGGATGAAGGGCTACGATGTTGGTTAAAATGAATGACCTTGATTTTTATTTAAAGTCACAGGGGTCAAATAAGTTTAAAACCTTTACACGAATCTTTTCTGAATAACCAAAAGGCCCAGGATGATTAAATTGGCCATTAGCATGCTTGGATGAAGGGCTTCAAAGTTGGTTCAAATGAATGACCTTGACTTATATTCAAGGTTCAAGGGGTCAAATTTGTTTATAATCTTTAAGCGACTTTTTCTGAATAAGGCCCAAAATGTTGATATTTGGATGAAGGGATATCAAGTTATTTGAATGACTTTGACCCACTTTCAAGGTCACGTGTAGTCAAATATGTATAAAGTTTTAAATGATCTCATCTCATTAAACAAAAGGTCTAGGGTGGTGATATTTGGCAAGTTGCATGCTGAGATGGAGGGCTACAAAGTTTGTTCAACGTAATTACCTTGTTCGACTTTCAAGGTCACAGGGATCAAATGTTTTTAAATCTTTTAACTGGTTGCTTTGAATGACTTATAGTAATAAATACTGATATTTTGCCTGTAGCTTTATTTTAGATCACTTTTAAGGTAACAGGTGTGAGATTAATACCAGGTGAGCGATGCAGGTCCATTGGGCCTCTTGTTTCATTCGATATTAAATTGATATAACGAAGTAAGAATGCTTCTTTTTTTCATTACTCCACCACTTCCCATCTGATCCCTAGAAACTAAAGTTTGCTTCCATTAGATATGTTGATTGAATTATAGTGTATATGCCTGCTTAATTATTTCTCTTGTGACGTTTGAATATTACATATTTGTCTTGACAACAAGCTGGTCCGTTAGTTCCATTAACCGTTAATATCCATTAAATTTGGTACAGTTGTGCATGTGAATCAGACAGTTTAATCCGATAATTATATGAAAAGTAATTACAGAGATATTGTCCTTTGTGTTCATGATGATAATGTTGATGGTGAGTGTCATTATGGCAAAACGAGGATGTCTGAGTATAATGATGATGATGCCATTCTATTGTATGTTGATGAGGATGAATGTTGTGATGTTGAGTTTAAATAATGGTGAAGGTGGTGGGTGTTATGCTGAACCACGAGTAGTTTTAGTTGTGTGTGTGTGAGAGTGTGTGTATGTATATGCCATGTTAATGTATTCAAGGATCAATCAAATATCGTTACCCGTGTCTTACTGCCAATAATAATGCATGCATCTTCAACTGCCTATATAGTGAGGTGTATGTTTATATCTTTTTTTTATAAATTAACATTTCTGTGTGAACATATCTGGATTTAACAAACCAACACAAACTTTCTCCAATACCATGCACTAGTCTCTGCTATCAAACGCTATTTAAGAAAAATGATTTCCTGATACAAAGACCTTCCCAGTCTATTATACCTCTCTTGTTTGATATATCTTTTAAGAGTAAATTGATAACTGCACCCATTTGGTGAGTTTCAGATAATAAATCTCTTCTTTTAAAACAAAATTGAAATACAGAACATTATATTGCATGGACTGAAAACGTGACTGCATCGTCAGAGTAAGATTCACCAGATATGTTTTTTAAAGCTCTTTAAGCATCGAAGCATATAGACACATTTTAATCCCTGTCATGCTTATTCCTTTTATTTTCCTACTCAGATAAAAGCTCAGACGACCTGACGTCTTGCTCATCAAAATTTGCGGCGGCCAGTTTTGAAAAGTGACTCAAGTTATCCACAAACAGAGGCGGTTGGGAGTTGTTCTAAATACGAATAATAAATTCGATGTTCGGTCCTGATCAGTACGGTTTGTTGATAAGTGGCTACCTTGTTATTGCATAACATACACAATTAATCCTCCGTTTTATATAAACAATCTTTAAGTGACGATTGAATTTCTGTCATTTTTCATTCTTTTATATATGTCTGTTTCACTCACACATGTTTCAAAAAACTGAAATGGTATTTTTTGGTTGTTTTAGCTTATTTTGAAAACAGCAAAGTATATTTGTGATTTACCCTACCCCTTTTGGTACCCCAAATGTGCGCATGTGATACGATAAGACATCTTTGAACATACCGGGCCCAAAAAAGGGCCTTATACGACACTCATCTTTTGCCAGTAATTAATAAACAATAGAAATATCTTTGGCTTTAATTGTGTAAACTGAATAGATTTTTTGGCAATAAGGGACAGTTTCAATTTCTTTTTTCATGGTTTGAATTATGTACAATGGGGAGGCCATTGCAACTCAGTTTTTGCAAAGGTCATAACGGATATTTGAAATATATATTTATTACTTCAGCTTAAGTCGGTAAAGTATAGTGTGTACTCTCCTTTCAAAAGTTCAAGGAATAGTCCTCGACTTTACTGAGTAATAAAAATGCTGTTTCCTCTCCTTGCATTTCCATATTTTCATACATTCAGATATGATAATGCATCAGTAGGATTTAAGTATGTCAGATTGGTATGGGACGAGCGAATACGGTTCCTACTTGCGGTCCTCTTGTAATATAATGAGGTTGAAACTCGTTGATATTTTGAGACAGATTAATATTTCTATCAATATATATTAACAAATAAGCGATGTTCTATTCCAGTTGTATATTAAAGGTTTGATTGAGACACATGATAGTTAGTCTGTAAACTATACGACATGGAGGCGGTTTATTGATAAAGTAATGTCAAACTGGCCTAGTTTTCTTTAAACAACAATGGAAGTATCTGTCAAACTGCTTAAAAATATTTCACAACCATGACTGTTGTATGACTGTGATATAAATACAGCGGTTTGACATTTACAAAAATCGATTTAGGTGCTGTCAGTATACAATTAATAGGTTATTGATGTAGTTCATTGTGACATCTCGTCTTTTACATATTCTGTATTTCATATCTAGTTCATTATTATAGTCACACAAAGTTTAAAAAAGTGTTAATCAACCCCATACATACTTAAATTATCAAACGATACGTATGGAGGCATATTTATCGTGGCATATGAGAGTGAACACTGAGGTAATGAGTACCATCATGTTAACATATATTACTACCATCGGCAACATACTTAATTTAAGTCAGTGACCTAATTAGGCGAAAGAGAGATTCATTTCTTAACCCAATGACAATTTTTAATAATGCAGGACAATTTATCAAAAGTAGGTCAAATTTATCTAATTAGGTGAAACAACAGTTCTAAGTTCATTTCTGAACCCAATGTCAATTTTTAGTGATCTATGTCAATTTTTAAAAGTAGGTCAAAGTGACCTCATTAGGTTAAACATTTGTTTTAAGTTCATTTCTGAACCCAATGGCAATGTTTAGTAATCTAGGTCAATTTTCAAAAGTAGGCCACAGTGAAATAATTAGGTGAAATAACAGTTCGAAGTACATTTCTGAACCCAATGACAATTTTTAATAAAGTAGGTCAATTTTTCAAAAGTAGGTCAAATTTACTTAATATGGAAAACAGAATATGCATATTTCTGAACTCGATGATAGCTCCTGTTAGTGTGTTTCAAATATTTAGAAATAAATCACACAGACCTGATTTGGTCGGACGATAGGAATTTCTTCTCTTCTATCCTGTTGTTTCCGCAACACCTATCACAGTCTCAGTAACTTTTGAACGCTGGTTTGTTTATATGTCTCTTCTTGGATCCTGCTGTGGTCTTTTTATTTAGTTTCAAGTTAATTGGTTTTATTGTACATCATATATTTTTTGCTCACCTGCCTCGAAGTATCTATAATGCTATGCTGTGGTATAGTACGTCAGTAGTCTATCAGCTATTTGTAGATATTT